AATAAGGGGTGGCTCGTCTAAATTGCTTTGATAGTTGTAAAGTTTATTAATAAAAAATTTTTTCCAATAATTTTGACCCACACTGTATATTAAATTTAATAAATAAAATATATATTATTATTATTTTTAATAGTGTTTTGAAACTTTTGTAATTTTTAATTTTAATTTTCAAAATTATAATTATAACTAAAAATTTAAAATTTAAATAATTAATTTTAAACTTTTCAATTAATTAATTTATAATATTATTTTAAATATAATTTCTTAAAGATTTAAATAATAATAGTTATACAAAAATTTTTTAATTATTAATTTAATTATCAATAAATAAATAATATTAAATTTAATAATAATAATTAAGTTAATCTTTTTAAAAAAATAAATTATTTGTTTGTTTGTTTTTTAAAAAAAAGCAAATAATTATTATACTTTATTTATTATAATTTTTAATTTGCAATTACAAAAATATAATTTTATTAATATAATATATATATATATTTTATTAAAAAAAGTTAAATACAAAAAAAAAACTCTTTCCCACTCCCCTTTTTATGCTTGAAAATTTTCTTTTTAGAAAATTTTTGAGTTTTCTGCTTTTATTCTTTGTCTTCCCCCTTTCTCTCTCCTTATGCTCCCTCTCTCACCTCTTTATTTCTCTCTCTCTATTTTCTCTTCTCTCTTCTATATACTTTTTTTATTTTTTTATTTTTCCCCTCCTCTTTCCTCTTTTCTTTTCTTGCCAAAGCTAGGTTTTTCCTTTTTTCTGAAGGTTTTCCTCTCTAGGTCTCTCTCTTTTGAAAACTTTATCTTCATAATATTACTCCTCTGGCCAGTTGACTTCCTTTTCTCAAGAACTATATTAAGAAGCAGTAACCTTTCTTAAGACGTGGACTTTAGGATTTTTTTTCTCTTTCATGGTTTCTCAGAAAAAGGATGGACAACTTACCCCCTCCAAAAGATTGACATGGCCATCATTATCAAACCTGATATTGTTTACTGATTGATGGTTAGACTAGATACATTCAAGAAACCTTTGTACAATTATTATTATCCAAAAGTATTCAAGGAGTTGTGCCCCACAATATCCAGAATAAAATAGCAGCCAATGTCAATGCAGATAGCAATAAGTTAGATTAGTTGCAAGTATCATGTTAGTGATTGGAAAACTTAGTAGAGTAATATGTAATGATCAGGAATTTTAGTTATTCCCACAACATGAGCTGATGACAACAATAAAAGTTCCTTGCTTACCCCTTTGACAATGTAGGTCTATTGTACAAGGTTAGGTTCCAGTGCTACTAAAAAAATCAATATGAACTTCATCTATAGGACACTTCCATCACACTTGAAGCATAGGTGTGCCAAATTTTTTTTGTGACTTGGAGGCAAACCTGTATAAAGTGACTGCAATACCTTCATACAAAAAGGTATTCATTTTTTATCACCTCCAACACTATTCTGCTTGCCGTACATCAAGTCATATTTGGAAAGCAGGTGTGCCAATCCTAATCATAACTTGGAGGCCAACCTGTATAGATTGGCTGCAGCACCTTTATGTGATTAGGTATTCATTTACTTTTAGATAGCTAGATGCCATTTATAATATAATATAGATTTTTGAATTTCTTTTTGTTTGTATTTCTTGAATAGTGTTAAAAGAGCATAGGGGTTTGGCCCATATAGAAGCCTTGTGTTAAATTTTTCCTAGTAAAGAGAGAAGTATATCGTGCTATTGAATATTGTATCTTGCTTTGCAAGTGAAAGTATAATAAATATAATAAAACGTGATAGCCATTTGCTCTTTTTAAAAAAAAAGTTAAATATAAAACTTAAGACCTGTAAGTTTATAGTATAATAGTTAGTGCTTCACAAATTATATTACAAGATATTAGTTCAACTCTAGATAAAGGTAGTTAAATAAAACTTATATAGTATTTGATACCATAATCTGTTAAGAATTATTTCTTATATAAAGTTGTTTTATATGTTAATTTAGCAAATATTAAAATTGCAACCTTTTTGATAAGATATAGTGATGTGGTAATAGTCTGGTTAGTGATACAATAATTATTAAATAAGTCAAAATTTATTTATATATTTGAAAATACAATCTAGACTATATGTACTCTATTTTAATATCTCAACAAAAAATTTATCTTCTTTTCTATTAACTATCAAATAAAAAGACTTTGAAAATAAATATTGAATCAATATTAATATATTATATGATATAACTTTTTAATAAGATGTTATATATAAGAGTTATGCTTTATTTGACATTTGTATCTTTATATTTGATAGCTTATACTAACTAATCTTATTCTGAAATATCTATTAGAAGAATAAAAAAAACTAAAAGCTTTATAAGAATAATTTAAAAATTCTTAAGAAGTAGTATTTTATTTAATTAAATATAATTTTTAGATTTAATAATATTAGTTAATTAGTAGTTAAAAGTCATACTGTACTGAAGTAATAATTTAAACCATTTATTAAAAATATATATATATACAAATTTAAAATTAAACTTTTTTATTACAATAGCTATATGAATAAAAAAATATAATATAATAAGTAACTTATATATGTAGTTAATAATATTTTCATTGTTCTTATACAAAAACTAAATCAGTAGGTTAGACAGTTAAAATTATCAATAAAACTTTCACTTCCTAGATAAATCTAAAAAACATATAATATATAATAGTATAGATAAAAAACTAATTTATCAAAATATATATTTCTAAGTTTTTATTCACTATTCAATAAACAAAACTTAAAGACTATTTAAACAAAATTAGTTATAGACTAATTATATTTTATTAGTTTTAACTAGATTTATTAAAAATTAAAAAAGTAAAAAATATATATATATATATATATTTACATATAAGTATCTATAATAATTTATAAAAAAATTTCTTTAAAATCTGCAGGACATATTATATAAAATTACAAAAAGAAAAAAACTATTGTATTATTTTAAAAAATCTGGTTTATATATTATTGTAATTTTTATATAAGTTTGTAATCAGTCCAAACTTCTTATATCTTCTTGACAATACTAGAGAGCAGTATAAATATACTGTTTCCTAGTTACATTAGATTGTTCCCTACTTATGATTAAATTGTTCCCTACTTATGATTAGATTGTTCTCTATTTATTTGTAGTTATTTATTTTGACAATTGTGATTGATTTCCGTCATTAGGCCACATGATGTTGGTGGCTAACTTTTGTCATCAGGCCACATTTGAAAGTGGTCGATCTCATAATTTTGGCCATATTAGTATATGGTCAATCTCATAATTTTGGTCACATAATGTTGATGGCTAACTTTTGTCATCAGGCCACACTTGAACCGACATATATCAGAACAGTGGCCTGGTCAATTTCTATCATTAGATTGCATATGATGCAATGTATATCAATTTGGCAATTGCGGTTGATTTTAAAACTAAGATGCTTCCTGAGGTAGATTATGGGCATCAAGTAGGATCTCCAGGTCATTCCCTATCAGTTATGTGTCGTGACGACAGAAATATGACACCATCGTCAGTGTCATATGTATCGTGATCCAATTTTTATAACACGGATTAAGGTGTCATGATCCAATTTTTATGACACGATGGTGTCAGATTTCTGTTATCTGGGTCGCATGCAAGCTATCGAATACCGAGTTGGCCTTATTGCAAGTTTGACGAGTCGATTAGGATTTATATGTCATTCGAGGAGATAAAAAAAATGCTATCAAGTATGTTATCAAATATGCTATCGAGTATGCGCTATCTGGGTATACTATATATATGCTATCGAGTATGTGCTATCTGGATATACTATATATATGCTATCGAGTATGCGCTATCTGGGTATACTATATATATGCTATCGAGTATGCTATATACATGTTATCAGGTATATGCTATCAAGTGTATATGACCTATGTCACGTAATTGCTATCGAGTAAATAATATCTGGACATGCTATACACATGTTATCGAGTATGTTATATACATATTGTTGGATATGCTATCAGGTTGCTATTAAACATGTGTTGCATAATTGCTATTGAGTATACTGTTTTCCAAAATTGGATGAATAAATGCAACTTTTGCAGTCTGATTAGAGGCAAAAAAAAAAAAAAAAATAATTACTATTGAGTATGCTAAGCATATACCAATTTCGATTGCCAAATTTTTGTCACTAGATGTCACTAGTTGTTTGCAGGTACTTGTGACAGAACTTGTGATGGCTTTTTGAGAGTTTTGAATCTTTTCGTTTCTTTCTTGATTACTTCTTTATATCTGTCACAAGTTACTTAAGTAAAATAGTAGAATTCTAAGGGAAAAAAAAAACTCTTTCCTATGGTATATCTATCCGATATATACAAGATACCTACCTATGTTATATGCACTATATCTATACCCGATACCTATCTATGTTATATGCGCATATACCTACCTCGATATATACTCAATACCTACCCGATATATATATATATACCTGATATATATACTGTATATACCTTTGATATATACATATGGTATACACATAGGAAAAAAAAAAACAAAAAAGGTGGAACTCAACAAATTAACCCAAGAAACTTGTGACAGCTGTGACAGCTATCAAGAACGGTTTTTTTCAGACTCAAATTCTCAAGAACCCACCTTTCTATCGATTTTTTTACTTGAGACGAACTCGTGACAACTTGTGACAACTTGTGATACTTGTTTGGACTATGTCTGTATACTTACTTACTATATATTTTTTCCAAGCACTTCTGTTTTTTGTGTCATCTTCTCCAACTTCTTCTGCTGATAATAATCTTGAGATCGATACTTACCAGCATGAGTTCTACATGCACCATAATCGGAACGAGTTAACTTAGTACAGCCAGGTTCTTTACAAGGAACTTTTATAGGCGAATCCCAATGAACTGTATATCCCTTAGGTTGATAGCAACCCTGATTACATACCTTTCCCTTTCTAAGGATATAAGGACAACAGTAAAAGCCTACTATTTTCTTTTCCAATCCCATATCTAAAGTTTTACTAATACGTTTTTTAAGTAGAATATATATTATATTGTCTAACGTTAATCACCTAAGATAATTAATTTTTATTTGAACTTTTTTCTAACCACTATTATAGTTTCAAAACAACATAAGTTACGATGAGTATCAAACCCGAACATAATACACCCATTGTACCCGTATCATCAGATGTGCCAACCGTGAATAACCAAAATTTCGAGCCAGAAATAGATATAGAGGAAGAAAATGATAGGACGTTCTACTACCAGGGGTTTAAAGCTTTTTTTCAATCGCAGATTTCGGAAAATGGAAAATCAGGACAATTGCTCTGCTATTTCGGTGAAAAATATTTGTCAGGTATCCCAACTCTGGATGATATAGTTGCGGAAAATGATGAGGGATTAACCACAATCCTTGACAATGCTTTATCCAGTTGCCGAGGAATTCCATTCATGGCCATTGATAGTAAAGGGTCAACAGAAAAGATAAATGGAATGTACTGCTATGTTTTGCGTCTTTATGGTTGCCTTATTAATGACCAAAGGGCACTGGTAACTCTTATAGGCATTCAGATTTTCTTTGATATTCTTGTACCATACGGAGAGACTTCAGAAAAATGCGAAATAAAAAAAAAAGAAATTCTCTCTGGCAATGTGAAATTATTTAAAATAGAGCATATTAAAGCTTTCCCTTTTTGGGGTTATTATACAGAAAAAAGACATATTTATGAATTTATACGAATGGTGCTGGGAGCAGAAAAAAAGCCATCGAAGCTGTTCAAGATAATAATTTCAAAACTGCTTCAGATGATTTATACTCATTCCATCAAAAGGTGACTCAAGAAAATGAAATCCAACTCTTTGGGTGGTCCATAATAAACAAATACTGTATATACACAAAAAAAACGAGCAGACCAGCCCACTCTATCCGCACGAATTCTATGTATCTATAAAAGATTTCTGTCCGTTAGAGGATTTTACAACAATAATTAACTGATTCCCTATTTCAGCTCTTTTACGAGATCGTACTCTTGTCCTCACGTGGAACATAGAGACTCAATCACAAGAATTTGGCAAATTTGCCGAAGTCCTCGATATGAATAATAATGTCTTTATAATTTGCATAACATTGCATTGGAAAGATGATTCAAAACCTCTAAAGCAAATATGTCTTGTCAATGTTAAGACAGAATCAGATCCGCGATGGATTACAATCATATGTAGAAACCAAGAAAATCTGCTAAAAGCTTTTGCTCTCCACTGGCGAGCATTTGCCCCTGACATTCAAGTTGGGTTTAATGATTCTGATTATGATTGGCGTTTTATTATGGAGAGAGCCTATCATCTCAACATACTTGAATGGATGTGGGAACGAATAGTGGATAAGTTCAAAACGAATGCAGAAATTATAAAATAGAAATATCGTGGAAAGATAGGAGTAAAGTCTGAAAATATTTTTAAGGTAAAGAATACTATTAAGTCTCCTGAGAAAGGCGAGGAGGATCTGGAGAAGAAAGAATATATAGGCAGACCAATTAAGATCAAAATTAGTGCGGAAGAAGATTTTACTTCTAGTTTCCTTAAAATGCCAGGTTGCATACTGTAAAAGTCTTAATGAAATTATGGATGATTTCAATTAGACAGTGAACTTAGAGAGATATTTATTGAACTCAAACAA